GAGTCCATTCCGACCCACAGCGCCCCTAGAGGACAGAGTGGAACTGCCCCACAGGGTCTCCAAGGCTGTCAGTCTTCAGGAAGCAAAGCCCAAACCACACCCACTGCAGTGGAGTCCATTCTGACCCACAGCGCCCCTAGAGGACAGAGTGGAACTGCGCACAGGGCCCCCAAGGCTGCTGATCTTTGGTTAGCAGCCCAATGCCTTAACCACAGTGCTACCAGAGCTTCCTCTGGGGCCCACAGACCCTCCGAAATCTGCTCTCAGCTGGGCCCAGATCCACATCCAGACTGTAGGGGATGTTCACGCTGAGTGCCCGTCCCTTCCTAACCCGGAGGCCCTGGTCTTCGGCAGCCCTCCCTCTCCAGGGTCCCTGTGATCATGGCGCCCCACCGTGTCCCGGGACAGGTTCCCAGGATGTTATCATTAAGGTGCTGCACCGTGAAGGGCCGTCTTCTTGGCACACAAGACAAAATCAAAGACTGATTTGCGTTGAAGGTGACAAAAAGGAGAGGAACGCTCACTGACTGTTTGCATGGGCCAGAATATGAACCCATCCTCTTGCCCCTCCCCAGGGGGCTCGGAGCTAGGACTTCACCTGGAAGCACTGTGGTCAGCAGCTCACGGTAGGGTGGGGCCAGCAGGTGGACAGGTAGCTCTGCCCCCCGCCCCGCCCCCAGTGCTGGCTCCGCCCCAACCAGCCCCGCCCCGAGCACGCCCTCCTCTCGCAATTGCACAGCTGTACTCAGTCCCGCCCTCAGTCATGGCCACAGCCCCACTCTTGGTCGTAGGTACCATGGAAGCAGAGAGGCTCCCTAGTCAGAGCAGAGCTGTCCCGTCCGGAAGGGAGGTCGGGGACGCTGGGGGAGCCGCACCCACGCTCAGAGCCAGGCCTTGCTGTCACAGGACCCTGGGTTAACCGGGGGCGGCAGTCCTCTCCTTCACCTGTCTGAGCAGTACAGTGGGCAGGGGCTGCTGCCACAGCCCTAACTGCCCCACCCCTGGCGTGTCCACTGCCCTCTGGCTTGTCAGGCAGGTTGGCCAGGGGGCCTGTGTCGGGGACCAGCTCCCCCGTGATACCCGCACAGGCAACTGGCTGCAGGGGACATCAACAGTGCTCTGCTGCCACCCACTCACACGGCGACACGGACTGTCACCATGGGGATGCCTGTCGGACTGAAGCGGCTCCTACGAGAGAAGGGTTCCCATCCTGACATGGGACGGGCCTGGCTAACTCCTAACAAGGTTTCTCCTTGTGAGTGGGTCACACCCTGGGGCCGCTCTGGCTGGGGGTCAGTGCCATAGCCCCGGGGGCAGGTGCGTGCTGCCTAGAGCCTCGCAGGGAGGGGCCGGCACAGGGCGGGACCCACCGATGCCATGCTTCTCCATGAGCGTGATGAGCTCTGCCTCTGTCAGGTAGTCGGGTGGGTTCGTGTGCTTCTCCACCGTCTTCACCTCGCTGATGGCGAAGGTGTCACCCCGCTGGCAGGTGGGCAGGTTCTCCTCCAGGGGCACGCTGTGCCAGGGCATGATCTCTGTGAAGCCTGCAGACGGTGCCATCCCTTAGGGTCTGGGCCGGCGGGGTAGGCCTCTCCCCACCCCCGGCAGCGTGGGGCCCTGGGCCAGCACCTGGCGAGAGGACAGTCTTCCCAGAGCAGGTGAAGTGCTCGGGGCCGACGCGGAAGGCGATGGTGGTCTGCAGGTACTTGCAGTCGTGGCTCACCGTGGCGATGAAGTGCCGCGTGATGTACTCGTACAGACGCCACGCGTCACCCCCTGCGAGGGCACAAGTGGTCGCTGGGCCTCCAGTGTGCTGGCCCCTCAGCCAACACATGTGGCTGGGAGACCTCTATGCCCTTCCTTTAAGGGGGAGCCAGGCAGGCGGCACCGAAGCTCTCCAGGGAGCAGGAGGGCACAGGGGACAGAGCTCCCCTGCCCTGCCTGGGTTCCCTGCTGCCAAGGCCCAGCCCTCGGCACACACAGCCCCTCACCTGACTGCGAGATGGACTGCTCTCTGGGCGCTGTCCTGCTCTCTACTGTCCAGGGACATGCACTGTCACCCCCAGCCACACCATCTCCACCCGGCCCGCGTCCTGCTCCTATCTCCTACACACTGGGTAGGTGGTCCCTTGGCAGCCATCCTGACCCCTGGCTTGCCTTCTCATCGCCAGGCATGGCCAACAAGGCCTGCCACCATCGATGGCGGCCTTTGCCCCTTGCCTCGACGGAAGCCTGAGGACTGTGCGTGTCTCATACCTAATTCGGCCTCCGTGGCTGCCTTCATGGGGGTGATGGGAGGGTGGTCACCAGCATCGTGGCCTTTCCGTGGCCGGTTGATCCCTTCTGCCAACAACTGCTTCACCTGGGGACGGGGACCCAGCAACGTCTCGGTCTGGGCTCGCTGCCCTACCACCAGGAGCGGGGCCACCGCTGGTTCTGAACCTCATTCGTGGAGCCGGGCGGGGAGAGGGGTGGCTGGGCCTTCCGAGGTGCGACCTGCTCACCGTGTCAGCCCAGTGCGGGTGATTGGCCTGCAGCCGCAAAGGGCCCTTGAGGTCAAAGTTCTCGGGGTAGTGGGTGGTCTCGGTGCGCGGGTAGCTGATGTAACCCTGCGTGTAGAGGCGCTCTGCGGTCTGCATGGCGTGCTGGGGGCCCATGCCTGGGAGAGACGAGGCCTTAGCAGGCCAAGAGCCTGCACCCTGCCTCGCTGTCAACAGTGCCCTCCGAGGACACCAGCCAGGGTCCCCAAGGCCCAGGCTGCGAACCCAGAAGGGCGGCAGCCACACCCTCCCCATGAGCTGCCAGCCGGTCAGAGGTCCCAGCTCTCCAGCTCTGTGGAGGCAAGACCCCAAGCCAGCGCCCAACATGCCCCCAGCCAATTACTGGAGCTGGGCCCTCTTTGCACCTGCAGATGCTGCTCTGGGGTCTCACGGCTGGGGCCCCTCTTGGGGATCAGAGACCAGCATCCCCGTTATCATGCAAATGCCCTGTTCTATCACGGGCCGGATGCCTGTCATTGGCTGACTGTCCAAAGTGGATCATAGTCTGTGTGGTCACTAAGGTTATGTGGCAACCTGGCCGGGCCTGGTTCAGTGGCCGAGCAGCTGGACGGAATATTCCCCATGTGAGACTGGCACTCAACTCCGTGGTGGAATCTACCGTGAGCAGCTGAGGGATGTGGTCTGATTCCAGTATAAAAGGAGAAGCTTTGGGGGGTGGGCCCGGCTGCATCTGCTCTGATTCCTCACAGGCACCGTTTAACATCCTATGCTACAACACAGGCCCGGTTTTTGCACACAGATCCTAAGGGGTTATTAGTGTCAGCCAACAATTCCATGAAATGGAATCTTTTTCCTGCCGGCATTCACGTGTTCCCACTGTTTCCCCGACAAGGTGGACCGACACCATGGCTGCCAACAGCGGGCTCAAGCAAGCAGAGACCGGAGGATGGTGCAGCACGTGGCGTCGCTGTGAGTCGGAACCACTCGACAGCACCTAGTGCCCCCTCATCAGTCTGGAACTAGGGGTTTGAATGGGAAGAACCGTCTGCTCTCAGCTGCTGACTCCAAGGCCAGGGGTTTGGAATCTACCCAGTGGCTTCACGGAACAGCCTGGCGACCTGCTTCCGTGACAATCACAGCCAAGAAAACGTGACAGGGCACTTCTACTCCATGCCACGCAGGGTCGCCATGCAGCAGGGGCGCTGGGCAGAGACAGGTCTGGCGTTCCTCTAAGACTTAATGACAGATGTCCTGGAGAAACCTGAGACCATGGCCCCTAGTCACCCTTCAGGGCTGGAAATGAACTCATTCTGGGGCTTCTAGTCACAGACAGGCATATTTGGTGTACAGTGACATAAGACAGATACACTCCTTGCAGCGATCAATCATGGAGAACAGAAGGGCAGTGTGTGCACAGGGAGACAGCTCGGGAGGCGGGAGTGCATAGGAAAGGAGGACACAGGGAAGAGGTGACCATGGGGCAGAAGTGGGAAGAGAGCAGTTACATGGTGGGGAATTGCAACGTCATGAGACAAAACGTGCATGAACTGCTGGGAAATGAATGTGCTCTGTCAGCTTTCACCCAAATCACAATAAAAATTAAGAATAAAAAACTTAAAAGAGAAATGCAACCTGCACGGGCTCGACCCCCTGAAAGCTCCGCACGGTACGGAGGGCAGTGCTTGGCAGAGGCAGGCTGTCAGCTCCAAGCCCCGCACCCAGGGTGTCCAGGGCTACGCTGGTGCTGAACCAGGCTGCATGTCCACCCCAGAAGTCTTTGGGGGATTCCGGGGGATCGCCCTACGTACCCAGAGAAGAGCTGGCCACCCGCAGCATCTCCACGGTGTTCAGGGCCAGGGGCCTCTGTTTGGTCTTCTCTTTCCGGCTGCAGGACTCCACCTAGAGGGGGAGCCAGCGTGGGTGCAAGGCCCAGCTCACCCACAGGCCACTCTGCCTTTCACAGCTGAGTGCGTGTGTCCCTGGGACCAGGAAGGTGAGACAGGGATGATGCAGGGGGCAGTTTCCCGGGAGGAGGAATGGAGGAGACGGAGTTCAGACAAGGGCCTGCACAGGGGTTACTGGCAGCGAAGGCGGACAGCACTTAGGGGACACGGAGCTCCTGCTGAAGGGGATGGGAGAATGGCTGAACATGGAGGTAATCAGTGTCGCTGGGCACATCCCTAAGAGGATGGGAGGCATGGCCAATGTCTGTCACCTACACAAACACCACTACAAAGAGAGACGGAGACCAAAATTTCATAAACACAGAAACCAGGCGCTGCTCCTTCTAAAAAATCAGCCACTGGAACACGGTGGGGCACAGTTCTACCATGACATGGCACCCAGGGTTGCCAAGAGTCAGAATCGACTCCATGCAAGTGGTCAGCAGAATCCAGAGGCCAGTGACTGCCGTCCAAAGAAGGAAGAGGCCATGGCAGGACTGGTGGGAGGGGCGGGGCCAGGAAGGATGTTGGGGCAGGGCTGAAGTGGGGAAGGGTGGGAGGGGCTGGGGTGGAGCCAGGAGGCCTGGGGGCGTGGCAGAGGGCAGGGCTGGGGTGGAGCCAGGAG